TAAAATTTCCCTTTGTTCTAGTTAATTCAACAATAAATTTTTGTTCTCAGCATTTTTTGTCGCGTAAAAGAATGACTAGGAAAAAAAAACAGGCAACATTTTCAGACGAAAACATTTTCCTTTTACTTAGTCTGTTAAGTCAACAAAAAATTATTTTCTAAAATTAGATTATCATTAAAATATACCCGTCTTATGATCTTTTGTTCCTTTGTACTTTTCTTGCCTGTAAAATAGGGGTCTAAGCAAAAAAAACCTTCTCCAGTCTTATAAGTGCAGAATTTGTTGCTTCCTCTGCTATATTTGCTGAAGTTTCACTGTTTTGTTCTCCTCTATCTTTTTTCATTTGCCGAAACTCAGAGAACAGATGTTTACTGTTGGTTATGCAAAATAAAAAAAAAAAAAAAAAAGAAAGAGTTTAGTTGTATAATTTGTTAACCTGATATTTGTTTGAATTTTTCCATCTAAAATTTTTATTTCAATTAAAAGAGAGCTCTATTCGTTTTTGAGCAAATACGTCGTTATTTTTTTATCTGCTGCTCAGGTACAATTACTTAATTGAAGATTCAGTGATGAATAACACTGATGAAAGAGATAGTTAAGAAATAATTTCTAAGGTAGTGTTTGACAAATTAAAAAAGTTTTTTTTAACAAAAGGTTATTAAACGTTATTATGCGACTATGTTTCTTAATGGTTTATGTACCGCAATGATTGCTTTTTAAGCCCTCCTGTAAGTGATATTAGCTGGTCGCCAAATCAAAACGATCTTTGCCAGCATTGGAGTCAAGCAACCAACTCTTAACGTTCCATATGGCCAGCAGCACTGTGCAACCGGAAGAGAGCGTATGTTGTTAACATAAATTTTTGAGAAATTTTGGTCATTTTGCAGTAATTTTATTGTTGTAGTGGAATTTTAGTGGAATTTTTTTAGGCTTTACAAAACTTTGGTAGGAAGACCTATACAGAAAACCGAAGATTAATTAAGCGTGGGTTTACTGCTTTGAGTCTACTTCTAATAATATTAATAGCTGTTGTGATAGTATTTTTAATACTTTTTGAAACCAAAGACAGAAACACAAAAGATGAAGTTGTTCCTCTGTCATCAAGCACTATGTGGCTTTCAACATCAACTCCGTTTATAACTCATTCTCCATATCCACATGCCCAATGCGAAGAACTACGTCAGTGCAGTAGAAGGTATTCGTTGCAAACATAAATTCTAACTCATAAAAATTGAATACTATTGTCATAGAAAAACAACAGTACACAAATATTGTTCATATTTGATAGTGAGTGTTTAGATCAACACAGAGATCACTGTTTTGCCAAACGTTTTTACCAGCGAATCTTCTTACAGATTTGACAGAGCGCCACTGCTGGTAATTAGCTTTGATGGCTTTCGCGACAGTTATCTTCAGCTAAATATAACACCAAACATACAACGCATTTTTGATTGTGGCACTCACAGTAAATTTATGATACCAGTGTTTCCAAGTAAAACATTTCCGAATCATTATTCCATTGTCACTGGCCTATATCCAACTTGGCATGGCATTGTTAATAATCTGTTTCGAGATCCTGATGTCCCTGGTGTTAGCAACCTTTTTTTTGCTTGTTTCAATAACTTAGAACAAGAGTAACAATTTTGTTCTGCGGCATGTAATTTTTAGGAGAACTTTACACAGGCAACGCATGATCCTGGCTGGTATCTTGGCGAACCGGTAACTACCGTCTTTCATTTAAGTTACATTTTGTTCAGATGATTAGAAAATATACTTTTTTTTCTTGGTTAAAAGTTTACGGTTCTGATTATTTGTAAAAAAAA